AGACAAAGATATCATGTTCTCCTGCCTTGATATCCTCTACCCAACTTGATCGTATAGCTCCTTTCGCAGATGCGTAGATGAGGCTTGGGGGCAGCGAGCTCCCATCGGCGCAGCAGCAGGCCAGGACTGTCAGAAACTCGCGTGATCCATCCTGGAAAGATGCTCGAACCTCCTTCTTCTCCTATTGACGCCTGCTGAATATTCTCTTGCTTCTGCCTATTAAGCCAATCAAGAAGCCCTTCTCATCCATATTGTATATATCTCGAGCCTCAAGGTGGTATTCGGTGATCTTTCGATGCAGCAGCTCGAAGTAGAGTCTATACTTTGACTCAGAATCAGCCAGGTGGCGCGTACGGTCCATGGCGCTGGTCCACTTTGAGATGAGATGGATCTCGTGTCGGTTGATGAAGCGAGTAACCCAGCTCTCGCTGAGCTGCTGATGGGCTACTTCTGATGAGAAATTCCTGATCATCTCTCTTGTAGGAGGAAGGCCTCTCTCTGTGAGCGTTTTGATATATCTCACAAGCTCTAGCTCTTGTTGTGGGCTGATAGCTTGCTGCTGAGCGTATCCATTACTCCTAGGCCCTGTCACGCGCCTCCACCTCCGCGATAGAGTTGCGCGGCTGACACCCCATTTCCTCGCAAACTCTGCTAATACAATTTTTTCTCCGGGTTCTTGCGACTCTAAATCTGCAATCGCATCATCAATTGAGCCATGTTGTTGAGTTATAGCGCGTGAGTTATGACGCTGAGACGCGCGTTGTGTTCAGCGTGCACGAGATGATCCGTGCATGGATTCCACGGACACGTTACAACAAAGCAGGGGTACTAAGCGAAGATAGCCTAAGATGGCATGCATGTAACGATTGACAGCGCACCCAAAAATGTGTAATTTTGATGCTGCAAGCTACTAGCCTACAGAAGAAAGTCTAATAAATAACAAAATATCTGTTATATGTATGCAAACCCGTGCACAAACGGAACAAATGCTTGAGTCTAGATCTTGTCTCGTTGAGTGTAAGGGGCTACGCTCAGGGAGCAATCGCACAGGTATACTGGAGTTGTATTCGATGGGGAAGAGATCTACAAGCTATCTCGTGCTAAAGGTTATTCGGAGAGCGGCTCGGAATAACCTTCTGCCTATGGACTGTGCGGATGGTCTAAGCGTCGTTCGGACCGAGATATCATCGAGGATTCACCAACTGGGCTCTAGCCCATCACATTGAGGGGGGTTTCTCGCTAATGCGGGATGGACGTTACCAATACTATCTGCTACTCCCCTTCTGCGCCTCAACGTCACCAGCCCACTACGTGATTAACCTCGTTCTTTACTAGGTCGTTCCAACACCACACCGACTACAGCATTTTGTGGATAAACGCTCGTGTTGCAAAAGTTCAAAGCTCGTAGCGTGCCAGACGGCGGCGTTGTTCATTACCAATAGGGTTCGTGGACTAGAGCACTAGGGGACCCGCCGATTCTCACGCCGAAAGGGCCGGGGTAGTTAGCGTCCGATGTTGGCACGGGTTCCACGGCATCTGTTTTCTCAGCTCAACTCTCTCTACATTTGTCATGGTTCATTTCTTTGTTTATTTTCGTCTTGCGCGCTATAGAGAGGATGGAACAGTCAATGGCTCAGAAATCTAGACGTCGGACGAGTCGCAAAGTCTGGTACCGCCACCGCGCCGTCCAATTAGCAAATGCTTTCTCGCCACGATGAGATGCGCCAAGTCCCGTATACCGGCCACGAAGGTATGGAGATCGGCGTGGTTACGAGCGGCGAGGCATCTAAATTTAGTAGACAATAGCAGGGATACCGACAATACGTCGGTGATTTCACGTCATACATCCGTTCGAAAGATGACATCGGTCCGTTGACTTCGTGTTGTTTGTACACGGGCTTCTTGTGGAAAATAGGGTATATATCGACTGTGGGATCTGACTGAATGAAGGGGCATCCATCAACTTACTCTATCAATCATCAACACATAATATCTAATACCCATCTTACCTACTTGTTAAACAATCCACCACCCAAGATGAAATTCACTACCTCCGCCGTCCTCGCCTCCACCCTGGCCCTCGCCTCGGCCGTCGCCTGCCCCAAGCCCAAGCCCCAGACCCAGGGAGGAGCAGACTACGTCGATCCCGCAAGCATCGGTGTCTTCCGCCTCTTCGCCCTCATCAAGGACGGACCCTACGCACAAAACTCCACCATCCAATACTCCAAGAAGGGCCTCTCCATCAATGTTAAGCAAGACGGCAGGTGCCGAGACGAAAGCATCAACTACGCTTCCTTGACCATCCCCTCCAAGGACGCCTCTTACCAGCCAGGTGGTCTATTCCTCTACACAGACAACCCACCCATGGAAGCCTACGTTGACCGCTCATGGATGGGCCAGGGCCTCCTCCAATTTACCCAAGGTGTCGCGGACAAGTCGTTCCCCAGGAACGGCGAGCGCGGCCCCTGGGCCATCACAAAGAACAACACACTCCTTTACGACAGCGGCAACGGCGCAAATGGCTTCCAGGCCTGCACAGAAGACAAGGGAAAGACTTTCAGGGTCTTCTTGGCGGGCGTTAGCCAACCCGCTGGTTTCACGGACTGCACCAGGTTCACTGCGCAGGTCTGGCCTGTAGACACCTCGAAGCCCGAGAACGCCAACCAGTGCTCTTACGACTACTAAACGATGGGTAATGAATGTTAATCGCGGAGTCGTAATGCAGGAGAAGCATAGGCGGTAGTCTTCATGTACATAGAACATAATATGGCGCAGATAGCGTCACTTGCATATAAAAAATACCGACTTTCCTTTATAACAACTCAAATCTTTCCAACCTATGATGTGCTTTACTGATTGGTTTATTCTATTGTGGTGGATCGTAGTCTAGAGTGTAGTTGAGATGTATGGAGGTAGGGGTCCCAGGTAGTGACAGGGCATGCAAACTATAGCTAAGACAATTTTAGCACTAGTATACCTTGCGCCCCGCCATAGATCTACCATGCATTCTTGATTTAAGTTACAGGAAGGCAGAGAACTAGGCGGTTAGATAATAATTATATCTTCTTACTAGCCTTGCTTATAAGCTAGCAATATAAAGCTCTCCTAGCTGCTCTATTCACTTTATCTTGCATCTAGTAGTTCGCAACATCACTAATCGCTAGGAAATAGTTACGCATTCTCGAAGATTAATCTATGATTTAACAAACTTACGACTATGTTGTTGTGATATGTTAGCTGTGATGTATCGCGTACTTTTGTACTAGAAGACTAGAGTCAGACACGGTTACGACTGTCTTTCTCATAGACACGCCGAGTCAGGAAAAGGATGTCCTGCAGACCAGATCTCTAGTTTCCACCATACCGAAGATTCATAGTAAATACCCAAACAGTCCAGCCCACATCACTCACACCACCACTCTCCCCATCGCAAATCAAGAAGAAGAAGAAAAAAAAGACACATAGTCCTCAGAACTCAAAGCTCAAGGCTTAGGTAGCATCACATCACGTACAATCAACAACCTCGAGTACAATACCCGCTCGCACATAGCCAAAAAGACCGGAGTAAAACGCGTGCAGCAGTAGCAGACTCCGCAACAATCAATCGATTGACATGATTGATTCCTATATAGGTTAAAGAATTACTTCATTAGGCAGCCTTTAACCTAGATAGGAATCAATCATGCCGATCCGATTGATTGTTGCGGAGTCTGAGCAGTAGTCGCTCATATTCCCGAACTTATCTATAACACCGTCTGGGTTATATACGTTCCTACATGCCTTAGCTCCATTAACCAGGCCTGCGGTCTAGATTGCTTCCGCCCCCCCCTAGACGTCGGGAGTTGCGCATGTGTGCCGGATCGGCTGATGGGTCTGGTTGGTTGCGTGTGGAGTAGCGGTGGTGCAAGACTAGGGTGGGCTAGATGGGGCTTTGTGGGAAAAACGATTTCGAGGAAGAGAATGCGAGTGCGATGGGGGATTAGGGAAGCAGACTTGTCAACAATCAATTCAATCAATCTGAAGTCCTTTAATTGAGTTGATTGGCTCCGCTGGATGGCTTGGATTGGATTGAATTGATTGGTGACGGTTTAGGAGCGGATTGATTTGAAACTTAATTGCAAATTGGTAGATTAAATGCCCAAAACGCCGCTTTGTATACTAATTAGTTAGCTGGATTGCCCTAGTCGCATATCCCGTATTCTCGAGCAATATCATCGTCAGTAACCGCTGCTTCTGGTGTTTCTCCAGTAGGTAACTCGAAGCCAGCCCCAACCCATCCCCTCACCAATTGTATTGCCGCTAGTAGTTGTGACCCAATAGCGCGTCGTTTGGGCTCAAGTAGATCACCAAGCTCGCTGAACATGCGCTCACAGTCGCTACTTGAGGCTGGGATCGTCATGACGTCGAGGGCGAGCCTTGCCAAGTTAGGGTACTTTGGCCGGAGTTTCATCCAGTATTGTACGGGATTGCCCTCCTCTATATACTGCTCTGCTGTCCACTTTGGCTCGTGCTTTTTCCAGCGCTCAAACTCATCTAGGGAGACTCCCTCATTATCATTGCCAGCATTGACAAAGGCGCCAATAACCTTATTAATACTGCTTGCTTGAGGCGCCCTGGGGCGCAATATTAGTGGCAATACTGGCTTATATTCGGCCCAAAGCTGCTGGAATCTAGCGTTAGCAGTGTCGAGCCAGCCAACCTTGTCCCGCCAGCTATTATCACAGTAGAACTTGTAGTATAGGTGGAGGCACACGGCGGCGTAGTACGCTGGGGATCGATCGAGCTTATCGTAGTAGTCGTTAGCCTTGCGCCAGGCTGCTTTGAGGTTGATCGCGAGGTGATCTTCGGGGGCTTCAGGATGAGCGTTGAAGTTGACATGCGCGTACGGTAAGGTGAGCGCCTCGAGCGAGCTGAGGAGGTACTCAAACACTGGTATAGTCTCGTAAATAGCACCAAAGTTGCCACCTTTCCCACGACCTTCGAGGCGCGAGGTGGCGTTTTTGAGTGGCTTGAGGCACTCCATATACTCAGTTATCACCCCCCAATCTGCTGCAGATAGCCCAGTTGATCTCTGATGAAGGTGGAGAAAACGTGTGCGAACTTGTTGTATTGGAGCTACGGGAGGAGTGAGAATATCTATGGTGCGCGCACGGAGCAGCTGACTAATCAGTGCCTGGCCAATCAGAGCACGGGAAGCCTGATTCACCGTGAATACTAGTGAAGGCTCTTACCGCGTCTCGACAATCTCATCAAATCCGGCGCTTCTGGCAACTTGTTGTTGTGAGCAATGGCGTGAGCGTCGTCAAGAGCAACGCGGTTAATACGATATCCTGCGTACGAGTTGTAGGCCGAGTGGAGGTGTGCAGCTCGCTCAAAGGCGCCATAGAATGAGTTCCACCAGGTAACAACTGGCTTCACGGGCTGAAGTATTTTGAGTTGTTTGTGTGTAGGGAGATCGCGGTTAGCGAGGCGCTGAAAGTTAGCAAAAAGCTCGTACTGTTGCGGCGTTTTAATGTAGTTAATGATATCCATTAGTACGCCTAAGGGCCCGTGCTTGCGCCAGTCTTCCATGAAAGCTTCCTCATCCCCAAGCTCGTCTGCAGCGTTGTCGTACGCGTCTTTATCCTTGCCAAATATGATAGCCTGGCCGACAAGATTGAGTGTGTGGGGACCGCAGCGGAGGTAACGATAGGTGGCTTCAAAGCCATTAAGGCGGCCAAGGGCGGCGACGGCAGTATCGTTAGAGGCAGCGTTATCGAGGACGAAGTAACCGAGCTTTTGGGGCGTGATAGCGTAGGTTGTGAGCGTACGCTGGATAACCTCAGCTATCCTCTCGCCTGAGTGGAAGCCTTGGAGCTGCGGTAGGTCGATAGGCAGATCTATAATGATTCCGGAGTCGTTAGCAAAGTGGGCAACAATACTAAAAAAAAGCCTCGTTTGCCGCCCTTTGTCGTCCATCTGTCAAAGCTTATATGGATCTTACTAACAGCAGTAGACAGAGCAGCGACAACTTTAGGCTGCAGGAATTAAAACAATCTAATAACAAACGTGTTGGAAGGCCTTGTACGATCGTACGGTGAATAACAGTAGCTAAGGTAATCTTGTGTATTGGTATTCTGGTGTATGATGATTCTACGAATGTGGGGGCTACGAAGGTATACATAACGTTGGGTCCGAGTTGGGCCGAAGTAGGATCGAGGCGGTACATTGGGCCTTATTAGGCGACACACCGTGTGTATGCCGACACTGGCAATCTTTTCTTATTGTAACGACTGATGTAAGGAAAAACGGGTCTTCTAAAAAGAACACACTGAGAGGGATTCCAAATAGGCATATGTGCCTACTCCGTAGGTCGCTGCACAGATCCCTCTACTCGGATTGACAGCTTGTTGCTTTCGATGAAACGTTCTAACGCGCGATTTGGTGTTGCTTTCGTGAATGCGTCCGCGGGGTTGTCCTCTCCGTTGATCCAGCGGATCTCAGTGATCTCGCGACGCTCGTATGACTGCCGAAGCGCCATGATGTCGATCATCAGTCGCTTCTCAGCAGTTGTTCCGAGTTTGACGAGGCATTCATACAAGGAGTATGAATCCGTACACACCATAAGTGGGATCGGTGGTAGACCTAGGCGTCCTGTAATCATCTTGAGGGTTGTTAGGATAGCGATAGCGATGTCGACACCGCTAACCATGCCGTACGTTTCTGAGGCAAGAACGCTCCGGGTAACGCGTTTGCATTTGGTCGAACTCCAATGGATTACGTTACCACGAATATCAAACGTGCTGTCTTGTCGACTCGACTCATTCGCAAGGATAAGTAGGTACCCTAGCTGTGAGCTAAGGTCTTGGTTGTTCGCGAAGGATCCGTCTGTGAACACTACCAGCTTTGCTGTAGCGAGGTCGAGAGGGACGTATCGCAGGCCTCGTTGTATGCTCTCAGATTGCCACTGCAGCCGGCGGTTAAGCTTCACGTATTCTGTGTCCTTAGGTTGTTGTATTTGCGCAGCCGCGGAAAGATCGAACGATGCTTCAGGTTGGCATATCGACGCAATGTACGCGCCACGCGCGCGCTGCTCCATGTACTTCTGTGCTCGGTTTGCTGCCTTCGGATCAATAATTTCGATCTTGGCACCTTGTCCCTTCTGCGTAAGTAGAATCGTGTCTCCGCGCAACGTTAGAGTACATCCGTTGAACTCGAGTGATACTTCTTTGGACAGTCTCTCCTTGGGCTTGGCTCGAAAATTGGCTTTCTGGAGCGCAGCGTCTTCTGCACCAGAGAATGCAGGCGTCCCAATCGCGAGAGTATCGTCTGTCTGCAGGCCCACTATTCCAAACGCTTCCCGTCTCCCGTTCGTGATCAGGAGGCACGGGTCATACGTTGATGTAGCCATGTCGAGCTCCTTGCAGTGGTGTCCTTGGTACGTAGCAAACCAGTGGACTCCTGCTTCCGCGATTCCATAGAGTGGCTTGATTACGCGAATAATTGTTCCCTCGGGATACTTTGTTATAAGCTCCTTTGGGAGGTGCGCTAAAACCGTGCGGAATAGCTCTGTTTGTGCCTGTGGGTACGCTTGCGTGATATCTCGTAGTTCCACAACCATGCCCTCATCGAGTAATGCAGGCGCTAGGGCTAGAATCAGGCGTTGGCTGGCTCGTTGGATGGTTGGCGACTGCGTCAGGATCTCGTGTTTGCCCTCGTCATTGTAACCTTGAACAACGAGGCGTGATTTCTCGTACGGGACCATGGTCTTGCCTTTGACTTCGCGGACCATGCGCGATTTGAAGATACGATACCCGCCGTGTAGAGTTGGATCAAACAGCT